ACAAAAACCTTCCAAACGCAACAAAAACCTTCCAAACGCCACAAAACACACCACAAGCCTCAACGAACGTCTCCTTGCTACCGCGATCTCGCCCACAGGAAGCTGCGATCGCGTGGCAGCAGGGAAAATGGCCGCGGATCCAGTTCGTAAGTAGAGGCGGAGTTCGCAAGTAGAGGTAAATTTTGGGGGCCGGAGCTAGTCGTATCTTGAAAAATTTGTAAGGAGGGGCGTTCGTAACTAGAGGTACCACTGTATAGTGTCAAACCTTAGTTTAAGGCAAGAGCCATCTGGTTCTTTCTTGAGGCATTCTGGTTAACAATAGGAGGTGTACTTTTCTCCCCCCATAGCTGCTGAGTTGTCTTATTTTGCCACTGTGCAGCTTAATATAGCTGGCAGGTATATAAGAATTCTGGGGCTGAAAGTGAAAGTGTATCCCAACCAGATAAATGGTCCTTTCCAAGCCACCAACTGACGCATCTTAATTCTTTGAGATAAAAAGTTCAGCATACTCCTGAAAGCTTTGTGCGTGTGTGTGTGTGTGAGAGTGGTTTTTTCTGTGTTTGCATTGCAACCCCCCCCTCCCCCAGTCTCTTCCTATACTTAGTTGTTTTCTGACCCACAGTGGTGCCTTTACCTAAAATCCTCTGCTCTTTTTGTTGTCCTCCAATTTTACAGGACACCGAGAGGTTTCAGTCCCGACATCAGGATCTGGAGCATAAACTTGCAGAAAAGGAGAAGGAATTGGAACAACTGGCTCAGAAACAGAAAAGAGTATGTGAAAATTGTGATTTTATAATAGCCACCAGTTTCTAAGTAGGCTTAGCCACGCAGTGGCAGTGTGCTGTATCCTTTTGGCTGCGCCGGTAAGAAAGCCCAGAAGCCTTGAACCACCGAAGTCGTAAGATGGCGACGCTTGTCCTTGGTGATGGTTTCGCTTTCTGGAACACCTTCCGGAGGGAAGTCTGGGAAGCAAAGGGTTTTCTTTCTTCTGCTTCGTCTGGTAGGAAGGAAATAAGAGGCTTTCTGGGCCGCCACACTGCATGACTGGTGGGACTCCTTTGCCTCCAGATCCTTTTGAACAAAGATCGGCGCCCGTGTTAAAACCTCAAAAGCCGCCTTGCCCTCTGCTTATTTTTCCAGCCTGACACAGTGAATTTAATTCCTTTAGCTGGCTGGCAAGTTGATTTGTACCACACAGACGTCAGCCTGATTTCCGCGGAGCTGACTCTCGAAAGGCAACTGAGCTCTTACTGGGACATTTGTTGGAAGCCGTAAATAATCCCAAATGTTTCTTATCGTTGTTTGGAGGTCCAAGCGTAGAAACTGGAGGTAAATGAGAAGCTCCTAGGGCTGCAGAAATAACGTGTCCAGGGTATTTGGCAGTCGTCGCTGTGCTTGGAGGGTTTACGGGCCATCCCCGCTGCTTCGCCTCTTTCCCGTGTAGGGCCTTGTTGGTTTCATCTGTGCTCTGTCGAAAAGGAGCCGGGGCAGCCTTCAGCTGCCTTATTAGATCATTGTCACAGAAATGTTAGTATGAGCCCAGGTGGTAAGATAGTGGGGTTTTGCAAAAGGGGGGGAAAGGACATTTTCTTTTATTCAGAAGGGTTAGTTATTTAAGCTGCTGCTGAAAAGGGGTCCGCGCCCCTTCCACTCCCCTTTGGGTGGATCTCCCGACAGCTGGACCGGGCCGGCTGTCGCACTGAGCAGGGCAGGGCGCCCTTTCTACAGGTCCAGTTGCCGTCAGTAATGTGTCAACAGAAGCTCTTACTCCCAAATGTTCTTGCAATTTATATTCTTATATTGTTTCTCATGCATCACAATGACAGCAAGCATCTGAAGCAAAACTACAACCACCTTATTCTGCCAAATCTTCTTACATTCTGAATGGGTATCAAAGTAAAAGTTGCCAGCATCTTTTTAGATTAATTTGACTTTGGGGCATCAAGAGCTCTTCCCTTTTAAGGTTCCCTTTTCTTCATGTATTCCTCTGAGGTACAGATAACTGCAACAAATCAGCTTGTTGAATAAATGCAATTGCAGTTGAAGTGAGACTACATGGAAGGTTTGTCTCCATATTTATTTTCTTTCTGGTGTGTACAGTTGGGGTTCCCACTTCTTCCACTTCCCTGGATTTGCATCCAGGTGGAAATGGACGCCTACTTCCAGGATGTTAGCAATAATCTTGTGGGTGCTACACGCCTTCTCTTGGATATACCTTTCTCTATCCTCCTCCTCATCCTATAGGGCCAGACAAGATTGGCCCATATTTCAATTCTGAATTTTTAAAAAATTCTTTCAATAATAGAATACCTGAGCCCTAAAAAAAAAAACCCAAACCCACTTTGGAAGCATCTTATGAATTTGTGATTAAATCTAATAAAAAACCATTCAATTTACTTTTTAATTATAGTTCTTCTTTTCATATAGCTGGAAGGACAATGTAAAGAGCTACATAATGATAAGCAGGATACTACAACAGAAAATACCAGATTGAAGGTTACTAACCAAGAGCTTCAGAATGAGCTGGAGAGAACATCAGAGGAGTTAATTGTTGCCCAACAGCAGTTGCAGATACTTCAAGATGAAGCTAAAAAACTGCAGGAAGAAAAGGAAATGTGAGTAATTCTAGAAAACAGGAATTAATATGAGAGCATTGATTTTATAAAAGGATATATACTTTTTTACTGTATTACAGTCATAGACCAGCTCAAAAATACAAAATAATAATAATAATAATAATAATAATAATAATAATAATAATATCTCCCAGC